CGGTGGCTGCTTTTCTCGGAAACGAGCGAGGCCACCGCAGCGCTAACTCACCTTTCAGCTAGCGAGAACGTGCCTGGTGGCATCTTTCGTCTCAAGCAGCAGTGCCTGGTGTGCAAAGCTGTTGACTCGTCACCTACTAAGTTACTGCTCACAAGCGCTGTTTATCAAAGTGCTGCGTGCGTGTTTGAGTAAGCTCTGTGGCTTGGCTTTCTCTTAAAACTTGCAAGAATGGCCGGCATACCAGTAACACACACTTGAAATAGAAGGTGTGGGGGAATGTAAGAGATCTGTGAACTGTGTGACCAAAACCGTGGAATACAAGACAGACAGTGGGACAGGGGGGTTGGCTTTCCAGGTGTATATAAACAACCAAATGCACTCATGTTTCTCATGTGTGATGGAATAAGTAATTCAATTCGCTGCACATGTTGTTCATTCCCTCTTCTGCAAGATTTGCCCACAAAGTAGTAGAATGAGATCCTTTGAGACGAGGAGTTTCCCTTGGATTAGTTTATATTTGCACACTTAGAATGAGATCCTTGAAGTTTCCCTTGGATTAGTTTATATTTGCACACAAATGTAGATTTTAATTTTTTTTCTGGTAGAAAATTCTTTTACCTCCTTGGTAAAAGGAGGCTCTTATTTTTGAAAAGGATCCTTGTCAGATGGTGATGTGTACTGAAAAAAACTTGTTTTTAAGAAGAGATACAAAAATCAGGAAAGGGAATGAAACTTCTTTTACTGAGGATACTCAGGGATGTGTTATCTGTGTTTTGAAAGTGCTTTTTGTAAGCCGTCATCTTGGAATCCAGACGTTGTTATCAGGGTTAATATAAACACATAAACCAGGAAAGAGAGGAGGCTGGTCCTGATGACTTTACAGCTTAGTGACTAAATTTATTGTTTGCTTCCCTTTGAAGCACCCCTTGTTTTCAGTCCCCTGAAAGTTGGGGGAAGCGCAGTTTTTCTGGGAGCATGCATGCATCCTAGCTATTTCCAGTGTGGTTTTTTTTCCCCCTTGTGTCTTTTTCCAAGAAGCTCAGGACAGGAAGGGCTTGAAGAGAATGAAAATGACTCAGAGAAATGTATTTGGCATTAATTAATCTTCTTGGATTATCTCCTCTGCTTTGTGTCTTTGTGTTCCTTACAGTAAATATGGAGCATTTTCCCTCTTACTGTTGATTACAGCATGAAAAGCAAATATATACAGTAGTCATTTTCATTTATGAGCTTGTCAGCTCTTTCAGGCTGCTGTGATGCTGGTAAGCCTGTCATATTCCTGTGTTCTTTGTCTGGAGGAAGAAATCTCAGATCAAAAGATGTGCTTAGCTGCTTCAAAGTGTGTTGATACATGTTCAGTCAAGCATCAAAACGGAGGGAATTACGTGGGACTGAACGTCTGACTCAACAAAGTGCATGTTTCCCCCTGTATTCTGGTAGAACTTGGTGCTGGAGTGTGGGGTTTTTTCGTTTATCTAATTGTGGCAGTAATACCAAGACTCCTGGCTCTGGAGAGCAGGAAGGGTTTTGTCCCGGACTCCAGCATTGTTGTGTTTTTCCCCCCTCTGTTTCTGTCTGTTCCCTTCAAGGTGTTGCTTTTCATGCGTGTGCGCAGAGATCCATCTTCTCACTGCTGAGTACTCCCAAAAGCTGTTCTGCCCCTGTGTTTGCATACCAGAATGTTAAAAAGGGAAGTGAAGGTGAATTCCCTGTTTGAAATTACAGGGACAATGTCCGAAGACAGGACTAAACACTAAATATTGCTGTTGGAAGCTGTCAGTCTTTAATTCAATTACAAAATGATTTCTTTGATGATGCAAACAGTGATCTGCAGTACAAACCATCATATAGGCAAAGCCCCATGCGGGGATTTACACGCTCGCTGTGGTCGTTGGTGTCTGGATGGCTGTTATTTCCACCCCACAAAGAGGAGAGAAGCTGACAAAGCTGGAGCCTGGGTGGGAGCCAGGGTTCTGGGCCGGGGGATGCAGTTGATGCTGATTCAGGTTGTCACTTTCTGCATCTTGTTACAGCCAGGCCTGTGTCTCTTTACAGCAACTGTGTGCCAGAAATATGGCTACGGACTGGCTCGGGAGCATCGTGTCAATTAATTGTGGAGAAAGCTTGGGAGTCTACCAAGGACGAGTGTCTGCCGTGGATCAGGTCGGCCAGACCATTTCCCTGACGCGGCCCTTCCATAATGGGGTCAAGTGCCTCGTGCCAGAAGTCACCTTCAGGTTAGTGTCTTTCCTTTTTCCTCCTGCCTTTTGCCAGGCAGGGTCCGTGGTGGTTTGGATGTTTTGGTTTGGTTTTCCCCAGAAATGAGTACTCTGCCTTAAATCTCCCTCCTGCTACGGTGTGTCTTTGGATGAGATGTGCCTCTCGTGTTTCTGTTCGTTTATGTGCAGGGGATGATTTTCTGGCTTTCTGATTCTTGTGTTAGAAGGGGCATAGGTTACACTTGGAGGATGTTGGTGGGTGAGACTCTGTGTGTGTGTGTGTGTGTGTGTGTGTATATAGTGTTTTATGTGTATTGTGTGTATACATTCTGTTGGGTTTTTGGGTAAGCTGAGGAGGCTGACGTGCTCTCCTGAAGCTTTGCCCTCAGCACGTGTTCTATATTTAATTAAAGTGTGACAGAAGAGAAAACAGAGTGGTAGATCAATTAAAATTGTTGCCCCGATACAATTAAATGAAGTACAGTTATTAAATCCAACTCCATCCCCTCTGTCTCTTGCCCTGTTCTTTCCTCTGTGTGGTCAGGAGAGAGTTTTGAACCAAAAAGCTGAATCGATGCGGCAGCATCGTCGCTCTCAGGAGTTCTTCCCCACCAGCTCCTGGTAGCACTGTGCTTAACAAGAGTAAATAAGAGTCACTTGTCACTGGACATTTTCCTGTTAGCTGGCATATTATGATAGTTAAGACTCAGAGTCACTGATTTTTAAATAAGATTGATTCCCTGGAGTCAGTACTCTTTAATTTTTTTTTTTTGTTTCTTGGATTTTGAAGAGAGAGAAAGACAATGACAGTATTCTTCCGGGAGATAAGTGGAAGTCTGTAGCAAGCTCTTGCTATTTTTATAGCCCAGTTGGACAAATACTTATTAAGTTTAAAATAAAGACCCTAATTTCTGATTTACTTCTTGCAATCAGTGCAGATGGAGGTCTTTGTAACCACTTCTTTGTTTCGTTTTGGCTCGCGCCCAGTGCTACATTTGTTTTCTTTATCCCTTTTCTGAGGAAACGGGAAGGACCATCCTTGTCTGAGCGTGAATTGCGCTAATCTAAGGGTAACTTTCTCTAGAAATGGATTAGAAGTAATAGTAGCCTCAAGGGTGAGATTAATTGTATTATCTAGAAACTGTTAAATTAATGCAGGTTTCTGCAAAGGTCTGTGCCTGTTGTTTCCATTTTCTGCTTGACTGATTGCTGTTTCAGCTAGGAACAGAACTTTTCAAACAAAATCCAGGTGCAGTATAGAAATACTCTAGTTATTTGGAAGATTCATATAATTTCAGTTTAGTATTTTGGTGTCTGTGGAAATACCCTGTGTGTTTGAGTCTTAAAATCCTGGGTTTTTGCTTGTTTCTGTCGATGATGGCATTAGAAAAAAAAACGCTGTACGGTGTTGCACATTTTTCTTTAGGGGTTGCTTTTTGCAAATGCTAAATTCATAAATGTTTGGTTTTCTTTGCCTGTTTTTAGGGCAGGTGACATTACTGAGTTGAAAATTCTGGAGATCCCAGGGCCGGGGGACAGCAGACAATGTGGGGATCTGCAGCAAACAGAACTGGGCACCCCCGGCGTCGGATGCCAAGTGGGTCCCAGTCAGAATGGCACTGGGAAAGTGTTAAAGAAGCCCATCTCCAGCAGTGCCCCGCAGAATATCCCGAGGAGAACGGACATGAAGAATCAGGATATTATCATCTCTCCACAGCAGCAGTGCTCCAAGAGCTACATGGATCGACACGTGGAGACGTTGACTCAGTCCAAAGGTTTCCGTCGTAGACACAACTCCTGTGAGTACACGAGTTCTGCTGCCACTTTCCTTTTTGCCTACCTGAGCTGCCACCACAACACCTTCCCTTCTTCAGCAAGAACATTTCAAACGGGGCTGGAAACTTTTGATTGTTTGCTTTTATGCTTGGATTGCCACCTGAAGGTCTGGAGAAGAGGGAGTTAAATAGTGAGGAGAAAGACTTCACAGGCTGTGCCTCAAAAATATTAGAAGTACAGCTCTTCCAAATGTCTGGCACTTATCTTTAAATCTGTTATGATTAGTTGATGATACAATCTCATCCATAATCTTGAGTATGCAAAGAGCAACATACCGGTGTCGTCTTTACTGCAGCTTTTCTGAGAGAAGTGTGGTCGATGCCTATTTATGTAAAAAGCAAATAGTTCTTTTAGCAATTTTTTTGTTAAAGCGAATATTCAAGTTTAATTAGTGGAGATATTCCCTGTCCCACCCTGTGTATTATTCTGCTTCACCAGCATCAAATATAGAAAATGTAGAGGTGAATAATGCCGGTTACAATGATTTCCTCATTCCTGATCTCTTCCCTTTCTGAAAACTGCCCAATTGCCAACCTCCATTTTTAGTCTGAAAGGAACTGGAAACAAATGGCAGTATTGCAACGTTTTTCTGCTTAAAGCCTCTTTAATCATAACCTATTACGACATCACCCTAGAAGTAACTACAAATGTTATTTGCTGTGTTGTTAAAAATACAAATTAAGAGGCTCTAATGAGGATGATGTAAAGATGCAATCAGCGCATCTCAAAGTCAAGCACCCGTTATTTTTATTTCTCTTCGTAAAATCTTCAGCCAGCTCGCACGCTGTGCCACAAGTGGCAATGTTCTGTTCTTCTCAAAGCCCCCTGGGCTATGCTCCTTTCCAGATCTTCATCATGCAATTATTAAAATGTCAGTATATATCCAGCATATTTCCATGACTTAATTGTTGAAGCATCAGTATGTACCCAGTGCATTTCCATGACTTCATTTTTTTCCCTTTGCTTTTGTGTTTAGAAAAACAACAAAGCCCAAGGTGGGCCAGGCCAGTTAAACGGGGAGATCAAAGGCTGTATTTTTGTGGAGAAATTCCTGGACCTCTGGAAGTCTTTCTCGGTCCCCCCCCCCAGCTGTATTATTTTCTGAAAGGCTTATGACTCTCCTGATATTCACTTCTTTATTTAAATGGTTGCCCAACGGGGTTGATGGGAGGAGGAAGGCCAGGATGATGCAAAGGGGGAGGCACGCACTCCTTGGTGACCTAACCAGCTTCAAGCCTGTCTGGCTTTGAGTTTTACTTCTCCCCAGACCTAAATGCTGCATAGTGCTTGCTGTAGGAAGAGAGCTGTCATTCCTTTAAGGTTCTTTTTTTTTTTTGATTCCCTGACTCTTCCTAAATTCCAGGTAGTTGTTTGGGTATGTTACTTTGGTAGTTTTTAGAAAAACTTTTTCAGACTTCAGCGTCAGCTACCTAAATGTCTAAAATAACTTCTGCTTTGCTTTGTTCTGGCTGGCTGGAGGAGGATTACTTCGCTGTTTTGCCAGTGTCTGGTGGGTCTGGGGTGAGCAGTGAGTACTTCAAACCACTTCAGCCCACAAACACCTTGCATCGGTTTTGCATAAGCACAACAGCAGGTCAGATGTTCTTTTACAGACTTGGAAACAAGTTGAGCAAGGTGCTAGATGTAGATTGTTGTTAGCTTGGATTCAGTTGGGAATAAATGAGGCAGAGGAGTGAACTCTTGCCCTCTAAAATGTGTGTGTGTGGAGAGTAGGGCAAATGGTGTGTGAATCTCGAGAGGGGGACAGAAGGGGTCCTGGCTCTGTGGAGATAGTGGGTACAGGCGTCTGGGGAAGCATGGGCTGAGATGTCCTGTGGAACTTAAGTCACACGGCATTTAGTACAGCTGAAAGTTGACCTCTCGTTGCCCTATAGCGTGCTAAGTCAGGGACAAAGTTCCCTCTTTGGAGTACTTGTGTGACAGGAATCAATAAACAACAAATACCAACGCAGGTTTCACAACAATGGCTTCTGTGCCGCTCTGGCACCGGGCTTGTTCATGCCAAGGCTGGTGGCAAAAGCCCCCCCAGGGGTTTCGCAGGAAGGCGGCCAGCTCGCTACGTTTGCTTGTATGCTATACATGGAAGGTTTTTTTCCCTAAGAAACAAAAAAAGCCTGGGAAGTATTGTTTATCTTGCGAGAGAGGCGCCTTTCTGTACGGTGTCAAGCTGCCAACTTGATGTGGAGCCATGTGCTGTTCTCCTTAACAAGCTCCGCGCATACACACGCAGCTCGGAGGTGCTGGAAGTTGCAATCCGAAAGGAGCCGGACTAGAAGGTCTGGCTTTCTGTAGCTGCTTGGATCGGGCTGTGGAAGCACGTGTAGCTGTGAATAGCGGCCTTCAGGCAACGGCCTGGTCTGGTGGGTCACCCTAGTGCCCTGGAAGGCAGTGGACGCTTCTCCTGATAGCCTTAGCTCAGATTCGCCTGCCTGAGTCTTCCCTTCCCTCCCCTTGCCCTCTTTTTAGGTGCTTCTCCTCTTTTCCCTGGATGGGATCAGCTGCCAGTCTAGATGGCGATGCTTTAAGAGGAACACCGCATCACTTTGCTCCAAGTTCGTTGGAGGCCTCTGCCCTGTTCTGTGAACTTGTGTTAGGAGGTTGTTAACGCAGCCTGTGAAAAGACAGCCGGGTGCGTGGGTCAGCAGTATTCAGAGCTGGCATCCATCGGTGTGGATTAGAGAGCTGCCCACCACAATGCCGGCACGTCTCGTTTTGATGAGGTACGGTCTTGGCTCCCATTCATTGTGTCTGCAGGGGAGCTCGGGGAGCTTTCCAGCCATTGTTCTCACAGCTTTTCTAGCGCAGCTTTTTATTCCGTCAGCGTTTACACACTGCTCACATCAGCTGCTTCTGTCCCCTGGCTCCACAGCATGGTGGTGCCTCTCTCCTCCCCACATTTTGCTTTCCAGGTCAGCTGAGGGTAGCGTGGAGTTGTTTGCAGAAGAATCTGGCAAAGAGTGTAAAAACTCTTGTTGGGTAACGGGAACGGACTGAGTTGCTGTAACACTTGACATTGACAGAAGCAGCAGGCTTGTTTTGCCGTTGTGTTCAGTGCAGGCTCGAGCTTATTCATCTGCTCTCCGAGAGTCCCTTGGCTATTGCTTTGACCTGGAGCTCGTGAACGTTTGGAGAGCTCGGCCTGTTGTGTTGGTCTGGGGCTTCATTCCTCGTGCGGCCAACAGCAGCAGCGTCGGACACGAGTCTCGTGTGGGTAGCAGCCGTTGCTAGCTCCGTACCGAGCCGTGTACAACTTTGGAGTGGTTTATGTGTCAGCTTTCGTTTGGGAATCCTTTCTCCAGAGCGGAGAGTGAAAGTTGCGTGTGTCAGTAAAAAGCTCACGCTTTCTCTCAAAGCTATGCATGTAAATGACTGGTCACAGTTGCGTACTGGAATTCTCCTTGCCAGAAAGCCTTACCCTTCCCTCTGTCCCCAATCATGTTTTGTCACCGGCAATCCTTGAATTCTGCTATCTGTCCTTCAGTGGCTGCTTGGCAAAAGGTGTATTGCAGTAGTCTGTTCTCACCTACTTGTTGATAAAAACTCCTTGACCTCTCCAGTGGCTTGAAAATCACTGTGTCTGAAAATGACCTACCTGCTGTAGTTAGTAGTCATTTCAAATTGTTCTAAGTAGACGCTCTATAAATAGTGTTGTCAGAGTGCGGTAACGCTGACCGCACAGCACTGCACTGCTGGTTTCAGTTGCTCCAGTACGTGCAGAATAAATATTCCCTGCTGGCTGTTGTACTGATACTGCTGGTTTGAAGAGGTGAGTGGCTTTGTGCTGCGGTCAGTGATTTTCACGAGGCAGGGAGGTTGGAGTAAATCCAGTAGCAGGGGAGCTGCGTTGCTGCGAGAGACTCCGCTGTTAGCTGTCGTAACTTCGCAGAGGCCCTTTAAGATATCTTATTTAACGCAGCAGTGCCGTAGCTGTAATGGTATAATGGTGTTGGAGGAGAAAGCGAAAAGCTAACATCGTTCGTTAGGCCAAGTGATAAAGCTGGGGAAAGTTGATTCTTCCAGTCTCTTCAGTGCTTGCTAGAGATGCATGAGCAAAACTCTTTTTAAACTGGTATAACTTGAGCACTCAAACTGTTGCCATATTTAAAACAAACAAATGAAAAAGCCCAGAACGACAAACTACTCACACTAGGAAAATGATTGTTGTGGGCATTTTTTGTTTTGTTTTGTTTTTAACAGGGAGCGATGACTCTGCAGAGCCTTGAAGGTTTGGGATCTTATCTTCTGCTTTTCAAGGTGCAAAATGCTGGACTCTGACTTCTTGTGCTCTTTTCTGTTGTTGCTGGACTGTGGAATAATTGGAGACTGAAGCTGAGAGGGAGTGGTTTAGGGTGTTAGGGTCTATTTTATTTAGCGCAGGTACTTGAGGCAGGCTCCAGAGAAGGAGCTGCTGAGCGTTTCAGAGATCTTCCTTGCTGTGGGGGCTGGGAAAGCTTTCAGATTCATCGCTTACACAGTTCTCTAGAAAAAACACAAGTGACACACTCTCTAAAATATGGGGACAAATAAATGAAGGGAAATCTTTGCTGAGACAGTGCATTCCTAATTGAGAATAAAACCAAGGACGTATCCTCAGCAAGTCATCTTTCAGCATGGCAAAAGTTAGACGTGGCGTTAGGTGAACTCGGTATCACACTGTAAGATGAATATGCCAGAGCTTACAAAGTCTGAGACCTCCTGGCAAGCCTGCCTGTATCTTCCAGGAAAGCGTGCTCTGCTCCAGTCTGTTTTTATAGTGTTTTCTGTGAAGGCTTCAGGTAATCATAAAGGTGTTCAGGAGTTAATGGCAGCAGTTTAAGTTGTGTAATTGAGCTACTGAATAACTTTGCTGGAGAGAGATGAGTTCTGTTTGTTAACTTGGCTGAAATCAGCACACTGAATGTGCCGGTTCCTGTCCTGATCCCGAAATGAGTGCACGCTCCTGTGGAAACAGTTGACAGGAGGAAGGTCCTTTGCTTTCTAGGGGAAGTGCTACTCCTGTCAGTGGAGTGAAGGATTTCACACTTGGAAATGTGGGAAATTAGAGCTCAGGTTTGTTAGGCAGCTTGCGGCTGCTTCACCAGTCTGGCCTGAGGTTGCAAATGAGCCTTTCCAGGCACGGAGGAGGAGGGATTTGTCAAGACTGAGCTAGACTTGTCTGCATTTACAGAGGTGACAAGTGACTCTGCAGGAGGCCGTGAAGGTTGTGCCTGTTGCAAATCTTTTGGGGAGGTTTTCTAAGTATCCTTAGACAACTTGAAATTCTTCCTGTCTTCTCTCGCAGATTGGCAATAACATGCAAAGACAAAAAATGCTGCTTTTTCGTTTGTGGAGAAGGTATGTGCGGAGCGCACATCATTGTGGTGACCTGGTGGCAATTTGGTTTTGTGTTATCCAATGGATTCTGTCAATAAACTCATTTGTATAAATAACTTGCAAAGTGATCATCTTCAACTATGAGAAATGTTTTGGTAGAGCAAGCAGTTTTGGCGTGATAACTCTTTACTCCATCTGTTGGACACTGTAGGCGGTACCTGTAATGGTTGGAATTGGCCTGAAATATTTCCTAGTAATTGGGAATTGGGAATTTAACAAGAGGTGTAACACACAGGTTATTATTGTCTGGACCTGAGTTTGTATGGGTGACCTGAATAATAATGTAAGAAATAAGCAAGTAAAGGGATATGTCAGCCTCATAATTGCACATGGTTTTGTATCAGTTGTGGATCTCCAGCCACAAGCTGTCAATGAGGAAACTTCCATCGGTCTCGCTCCAGAGAAATCAGGCTTTCACAATGACTTGTGATTGGAAAGGAGCATACTTGAACATGCAAGTTGATGAATAAGTAGAATGATGAAATGGGAATAAGGGAATAGGCTTCATATCAGTACAGAAATGTGTACAATTGATAGCAAGTGCGAGGAAAAAGAAATGCTTTGTGTTCAGGGTGTTAAGTTCTCCCTTAAACATCATTAATGGGTGGCCAGCCTCTCATGACAGAAAACACCTACATTAGTTCCTAAAATTTAGGGAAGTTCCAAAGGTCTTGGGCCACATGCTGCATGAACATGAGCTCAGTATAGGAGGAGAACTGTAACTGTCCTAGGTCATGGCTAGCTTATTATCTTATCACCAATGTGACACCATCTTGAAATAAATAAGATCTGGGGAAATGCTTATTTTGCTACTGTGATCAAGCTTGTTTTTCTAACCTGGCCAGTGGAAAGTCCCTGAAAGTCTCTCTCCTGATGCTCTTGTTGTTGTGTTTTCTGTTATCTTATCTTAGCGTGAGTAATGCCAGAGATGAGGTCTTCAGCTTCTTTGGGAAGCAAGTATTCCCTTGCAGCAGTGGCTACAAGCATGAGCTCCACTCTCTTACAATAAAGTTTGCTGAGAAAGTGTGTGAGCAAACGTGGCTTTTTCCATTTATGACACACTTTCAACTGGCTTTTCTTTTTGTTTAGGGTCATCCAGTAGCCGTCATCCGAACCAAGTGACTCCGAAGAAGAGTGGCTTGAAAAACGGGCAAATGAAGAGCAAAGATGACGAGTGCTTTGGGGACGACATTGATGAAATCCCAGACACAGATTTTGATTTTGAAGGGAACCTGGCCCTTTTTGACAAGGCAGCTGTGTTTGAAGAGATTGAAACTTATGAGAGGAGGAGCGGCACTCGTTCCCGGGGCACCCCGAATGAGAAACCAGCTCGCTATCGGCACGACGAGAACATCTTGGAATCGGAGCCCATAGTCTACAGAAGGATTGTCGTACCCCAGAACGCTAACAAAGAATTCTGCACGGGTATGCCACGTCCCTTACTGATAAGGATGCAAATTCGGCTGCTTTTCCGGGGCACATGTGGTGGATTGTTTTCCCCAAGGGGTGTCTGTCAGCTTAATGTGGTGCAAGCGAGGGCATTTGTTTGCGTAAGATTGGATCTGTGCCTTGTATCTACATACAACCTTTATTTGCAATATTTCCGAGAGGAAAAATACTCAGATAGGGCAACAAGGTAAGTGTTTTTGCAGTAGGGAACAGAACTGATGGTTGGATTAAAAAAAGTGGTAACTGAATAGGAGCCATTTGAGCCCTTGCTCTGCTTTCAGTAGCATGGTGAACCTGTGTGGACTTGACTGCTGGCTCTTGAGAGGGAGGGATGATCTCAGGATTCCAGTACCTGATAGCACATCGTAATTTGTGTTTTCTCAGTAAAAGGCAGGAGATTTCATGTGCTCCTTATACTCCTTGGGTGTTAGTTATGCATTTCTGCATGGTTTTGCACAACTTGGTGTGAAAAGAAACGGTTTTGGCTCTTCCCATTGATAATTCCAAGCGTTCATTGGACAAAAGGCTTTTTATGTGGGGTCTCGCCTGCCACTTGCTGTCCCCTGCTGCTGTGGAGCCCCAGAAAGCTGGATGAGCATGCATTTTATCAGAGCAAGCTGTGTCTTTCTCTCCTAAGTCTTAATGGTAAAAGGAAAGAAAAACCAGGCCAATGCTTGAGGTGAAGCATTCATCAAGTGCGTTGACAGGGGAAGCGAGTTGAGCTCGCTGGTGCCAGCTGCTGCGCAGATGTTCTCCTGCAAGGCCGAGTTCTGGGCCTTGCTGCCACTATAGGCTCTCGGGTGGAGGTGAAGGTCGCGGGGTGGATCAGTGAGCTGCATGGCTGCAGGGGAGCAGTGCTTCTAAAATTGAAATGCAGGGGATGATTATTCAGCTCCTCATCCGTGGCTCTGGGGAAGGGTGGAATTGTTCTCGTTTCATGTTCAGTAGCAGTTTTGTGGTCAAGCACCAGATAACGGCGCTTTCACCAGGAGCTACTTAGGTACGCAAATGGATTTTACTGTAAGGAGTCTTTTTATTTCTATACCTACACGTGCTGTCAAGTATAGCAAATGTGCTTAATGCTACATTTGGGTGCAAATTCACTGTAACTTTGGTGTAGTTGTGGTGTCCTCCCTTCAGTTTGCACGCTTTTTAGCCCTTGAACAATGTAGGAACTTTGGCATGCCAGGGACGTTTCTTTTCCACATCAGGCTAAAATCAAACTTCGGGTCTTTTTGTAGAGAGACATGAGATAGCTAATGTCCTGGTGGTCTGGCCATTGAGCGGAAGTGTGGTCAGGTCTTTGATCTGTCATTTTTTTCTCTGCCCAGAAACTCCATCTGGGGTGTGAAATACTTCAGAGAAGGAGGCTGATTCATTTGTAATGATTTTCTGCTTTTCAAATCTTAAAAAAAAAAAAAGAAAAGTCTTTTTTGTTAATGGTTCTGCTAGACAATGAAATCGGAGTTTTCCATTTGTGTCATCCATCTTCCTGTTGATCTGTTCTGCTCTCAGATGAGATGATAACATACTGGATCGTCTCCGAACTCGTCCAGCTCAGTATTGTGTTTCCAAGGATACTTAAGGAAAAGTGAAAGAACAGCATAAACATGCAGTGAAACTTTCCCCCCGAGTGCTTTGTCTTTCACAATTTCAAGACTTCCCGAAGCAGAAGTGGTAGTTCACTATTAACAGCTTTTGATGAGGCTTTTTTTTTTTCCTTCTGCTTAATTTAACCTATTGCTGTTTAAATCCGTGCAAGCTTTCAATATCATGACAATGTCCTGTGGCAAGAAGCTCCACTGGTTGCCTGTGTGCTGTGTGAATAAGCACTTCTTCATTTTCGTGTGGGATTTACTGGTTTTGTTTTTTTTTTTTAAACTTACTACTTGTCTATTCATCTTCCAGCTGGCTTGTTTGAGAGGACACAGGGCCTCTATGTATATCTAGTCTGAAACAAAAGCAAACCTACTGTTAGGTGCCAGTTTGAGAGGTCTGGCTAATGCGATATTCTAGCTGTACAGGTCCTGGGAGGAAAACTCTGACATGCAGTAAGCAGCAAGCATCAGCAAGTAAATTCAGGGGATGAAAATGAAATCGTGTTTGCTAAACTCTGTCGTCCTTTGCTATGGAAACCCTTGGCTCCCCGTTTGCAGTGTGCTGCAGGGAGCAGCCCCGTGAAAGGCCTGCTGTTTTCTGGTTCTGTTCTTGGCAAGCCTGCACAGGGAGGGCGGTAAACGACTCCCCTCCGTAGTTACAGGGTCTCGCTAGCCTCATTAGCTACTGTTGGGTGATTAGTCTCCCCTATGGAATTCTGGATTTGTCTGGAAGAAAAGCTGTCGTGTCACACAACGGGCAGGGTATTGACAACTACAGTTCCCTGTTGCCTGTGCTGAGCCAGGGGACATTCACAGTCCTGTGAATGATGATAAAAGTGTCCCAGCGCTATTCTCTAGATGTTTGTCCCACAGAGGGTGACTTCCTTTGTGTCCGCTGAGGAAGTTTACTTTTGCTTAGGAAATGCTAATGCCTATCTAGCAAAAGCTCTTGTAAACAGTTGTAACTGGCCTGCTGTTTCTGGCATTCAGTCTAGTGCTTTTTGTAGCCAGTCAGCCCTCCGAGGGACAGAAGGATATTCAGTGCTTGGAGTAATGATGGACTGGCACTTGAAAAAAAAATCAAAAAAAAATCCTTTGTTTAGCAAGTGGAAGGAGGATGCGAAGCTGTAGACAGCCTGCCTCAGTGGCTCAGAGAGCAGCAGCTGCTGAAATTGCATGAGTGCAAATAGCCCTAAAAGCCATGATTTTGGATGTATCTATGTCAAGAATTCCCTTTCTGCTTTTGAATTCTCTCTAGGGTTTTCTCTGGACTCCTGAGGGGAGCTCTAGTTGCAAGAAACACTTCCTAGTTATAGGAGAGATAAGTACTTTGTATTTTTTTTACCCTAGGCCAATCTTGAAGATGATTGTATTGCAAAAGCTCTGCTTGATACAGTGATTATTCTGTCTGCTATAACAGCACAAACAAAGTGATGTTGGTGATTGACAGCAAGCTAATATCCAGCTCTTGTCACTGTGGGAGAGGAAGAAGTCTGTGAATCCTTGCATGCTCTTTTGTGCTGTGTTTCCACGGAGCTAGGAAATAACCAGGATTGTGCAGCGGTAGAAGCAGCAAACTGCCAATACCAGTTCTCCAAAAGACTAATCTGCAGGGCCTCCAGTCCATGTTTTTATTACTGACTAAAATAAGTCGATTTGTGTAGGAAGTAAGCAAAGCTTGATAAACACTTCAGGCCATCAGGATGCTTTTCTGAGAGCTAATTTTATGGAGCCAGGCTGTCAAGTAGGTGTGCTAGCATGTGTTTTGGAAGTAAGCAGGGAATGAAGATGGGGCTCTGTTCCAAATGAAAACAAAAATCTGAAGCTAATGGAGCTTACCAGGTCTTTGATTGTGGCTGAGCTGAGTCCATCCCTGGGGCTGCACGTATTAATCCCTCCCAAATATATAATTAGTCTTTACTCTTTTGGGCTGTCTGCTATTGATCTGTCTCTTTATTTACTGTTATATAATGCTTGAAAGGGGAAGTGCAACTGTTTTAAAAAAAATCCGCCTCCCTGGAAAGGCTGATCCTTATATGAGGAGTGAGCTGGCATCTTCTACCTCCACAGCTGTCCAGCTAGAGAATTTAAATGTGCGTTGGTGTCTCTGTTCCTTCTGTGGGCCATCGGCCTTGAAACAGTCTGCGTTTGGGGATCAGGTCTTTCAGCAGTGACTGCAGAACGTTGGCTTTGCAGGTATGTTGGAGCTCAGAGGAGTTTGCAGTAGGGTGGAGTATCTCAGTTCGTCATCAGTGACTCTGTGTAATATAATCTCAAGCCGACCAGGCTGTCCAAATGGTTCCTTTTTGCAGTTCATCTCTCCTTTCCTCTTAACTTTTAGTTGCTGCTAGCACATTACCACGTACGTACCATGGCTTCCAGTTCATGACCATTATACTGGATTAAAACCTCCTTCGCCTGGACTGTGGGCAGCAGATGGGACTGACATTCTCCTGTGCCACACCACCTCAACTTGCCGTTCTCCCACGCGGTGTAGGGGTGCAGGTGCATGCAGTGGGCTTGTACCCGACACCTGCCCTTTTGAGCAGTGGGGTCTGCCAAGACGGTGTCTTACAAGCACGCTGAGACAAGCGAAAAGGAGAGCTGTATGCCACGTAGGTAAGGTATGATGTGCACTAGTAAGGCTTTGTCCAAAGCAGGTTCTCTTCTAGTTAACGCTGTTAATGTAGAAACTACTCTGTTTCCATCTCTGTGCCTCTTCTGGAAAATAAGTGGGATTTTTCAAACTCAGCTACTGTAGAATTTGTCAAGTGAAGGCAGGTCTGTGATCAAAAAATCGCACTAAGTGTCAATATTTCTCTGTGCTCCCCCTAACCAGACTTCAAGCCCGTCCTTCAAGAAACCTTTTTTCCCCCCCATGGTAAGGAGATAGTAAAAGACAAGGTGCTCTGAGGAGTAAATCAATGGAGCAGGCAGAGCTTACATGCCAGGGTCAGGCTGCAAAACTAAGGCTGAGTCTGTTCTGTGAGGATGATGCCAACAGTATGGCTGGGTTTTTTTTTTGCATGCCATGTCCTTGACTGACTTTTCTACTCTCTGTAGCTTTTAGCTCTTTAGGCTATGGATGACTGCCTTACAGCGATTGTGTATATTGAATGTGTGAAGTGTTTCTGGGATCTTTGAGTAGAGTGCAAATTAAGTTCACTTTATCCGACCGCAGGAGAAAACAAAGTGGTCATGGGGCAAAGTCTCTTTGTCCCTCAGACAGTTTTTTTGCTCAGCTGGAGTGAATTGTGCGCTAATGCTGGGAGAGGCTGACACTGGAAGGTCAGCCAGAACTCCCGCAGAAATTGTCTTAATTAAAAATAATGATGAATTAAAAAAAAAAAGTAGCCCTTAAAGTTGCGGAGAAAATCATTCGTGTTTGTGGGGCAAGTAACTGCGTTTTGCTGAGTCTGCAGGCAGGTGGCTCCAGCTTTACAACCAGCAAAAGACAGCAAGTAACATCCCATCTGCCTGAACTGGACAAGGGTTACACCCGCTTCACGTGGCTGCGTCTGGGACTGTGAGCTCTGTGGCTCTGGCAGCTGGAGTTAGTTATTGCTAAAGGAGAGAGTTCATGGCATTACGTGCCGCTTTCAGGAGATCCCAGGTCTAGTTCCATCTCGTCCGTTCCTGCAGCTTGCCTGCATTTATTTTAGTGGCTGAAATAGCCAAGAGCAAAGATGGGGCTTGCGCACTGACCTGCTCTCTTCTTCCCTGCAACTGCAAGAGTGGGAGGCATTTGGACTTCTGACAGCAACATTGCTTTGGGCTTGTTTGGGGAAAAACTCTTGTTTTGTTAACTTCTGGAGAGTTAGCTCAGTCCTTCTGCTGGCATAGGGTGTTTTAATCAAACCTGTACGTGTGTAACATTGCGTAGTGAAGCTCGAGGAGAGAACTTCTTTGCAGTTGTAGTGCCCAGGACAGAGTGTGCCTCATAAACGGAGAATACTTCATGTTTAATCAAGCTTCAGCAATACTCTGCGTGTCACAAAACTGTTTAGTCTATATCTGCCTTTTTTTTGTCCCAGGCAGCTGTAAAATACATTTATTTAATATTAAAAGGCCTGAGCTAATTTATTTTATTGCCTTCATTACCAAACAATAAAGATGCACTGTCCAACCCAAACATAATTAAAGTTGGCAGGAGTTCAGTTTTCTTGCAGTAGTGTTATTGTTTGTGGGTTTACACGTCGCCTCCTTGATTGCTTTCTGCCAGAGTTTATTTAACTCCCTTGGCCTGGTTTTGATAAGCCAGTCTGACTGGTTGGACCTTGCGTGAGTGTGAAGAAGGGAAGTTCTCTTGGCACTTAAGCCTGCCCCTGAGAGGGAGCAATTAGGACAAAGTGTAGCACTGGCATGCTAAGTGCAAGTTCATCTCATGGCTCTGCTGCCTCCCAGTAACCCCCTTTGCGTTAACCCACTGGGCACCGAGTTGCATCAAGCTGGTGGCGAACGCGGGTTTACTAAAGCTCGTGGTCTGGGGGGAGCGACTGAGGGAAAGATGTAAATGGTTAGAGAGAAGGTGCTGGCAACAGTCATCTGAATTGGGTAGGTACAGAGTAGAGCTCAGCTGTTTGACCCTTCTAGTTTGGGGAGTTTGCGCAAGATTTAAGCGGGGAATTTGTGGTCCCGCAGTTCGGAAGGAGCAAAAGGACAGTTTGGGAGCCCCCTGTTGTAGGTTAGCGGAGGATGCATCCCGGCAGACTGTTGGGAGAGATCCTGACCTCAGGTCACTCATTCCAAGTCCTCCCTCAAGCTTGAAAAACAAGACCTGATGAAGTAGCAGAAGTATGAATGGGGCAGAGGCAGAGCCAAGCCTTGCGTGACTCCGGAGGCTAAGAGGGTGTGTGAACACAGGGCAGGTGCGTGACTAGTGCGACGGGCTTAGGATTATTAGTGGCTTATGACTCCAAATGTTCAGCGGCTGCTATCAGGAGTCTGAAATGACTTTGATAACGTGCATGCTTGCATGTGTGCTGCATGTAATGAAAGACTTAGCGGAGGAAGCTTAATTGGCGGTTAGCATGCGAGGTCAAGTGTTTGAACGCGTTTGGGCCCTCTGGATCTGCAAAGCACTAGCCGGCCAGTTCAGGAATGAAGGCCAGAAGGATTCAGAAAGATCTACTCCACCACATTTTACTGTTACTTTGCAGGAATACCTCCGATTTGACTCTGAAAACCTCAAGATGTACGAAAACTGCCATTTCTGCAGCAGCTTGCCTTAGTGGTTTGTGACTGGGGCGCCCTGAGGAAGTATGGCAGTGCAAATAATTCCTCACAATTAAAATATGTGCTGCTTTTCTCATTTGAATATGGTGTTTGCTTGTTACAACTGGTTCTTGTTATGGTTTTTTGTCTGCAAAAGAGCCTGAGACCGCGAGTAACTGTTGGGTTTCCTCGCTGAGCGGATGTGTACGCTCTGGCTGTTCCCCTTTGAGCTCGTACCGCTGCAGAGCGTTTTCACTGGGCCGTGTCATGTTCCCACGACACTTTCCCACCAGCGCAGGCGGTCCAAGCCCCGCCGTGCTGCTCAGCGCTGGGCTGCAGCGGGCACCCGGGGGGCTGCCATCGCCCCCGTTCAGAGGCGGGGCGGGAGGTCCGGGGCGAGTCAGGCCTGCGGGCTATTGACTGCCGCAGAAGCAGGGTGTGCTGATGGAAGGACCGAGTTTACGCTTTGGCTTGTCGTTTGGTGTCGTGCTTGAGCGGTCTGAGTCCTGGGCCTTTTTAACCCATGCACCTCATCTGCCCATCCCGGAGTGGGAGCTGACAGTAAATTCCCAGAGCCCTTGCTCAGCTGGACTCTGCTGGGATTGTTTGTTTAGCTCAGAGCAGCACTTGTGAATGGTGTGAACAGAAGGAGCTGGGAGCTTTTCTTTCTGGCAGCTGTGCTCCAGCTATGTGGCCATCTCATACGGGGAGGGAATTAAGCTGCGCTGCTCCTTAGCTGGGAGACAGTTAAGGACATCCAGGCCTTGCAGGAGGACGTTTCAAGGGAAGAATAGCCTGTGTTTCTCATTCCATTTGAGGTGTGAATCCTCAAACACAGAGCGAAGGGGCTTGGATATCAGAATTATTTTGAAGAAAAGTTAGAATAAAGAGGCTGATTTCTGTGGCTGAAGGCATGCAGGGATATCGGGCTGGCTGCTGCACCAGTTTTCTCACCTGTCGCATTGTGCACTTCTCTCTCTCTCCGTAAACCATAAGTAATTATTTTCAGTTGCCTTGTCCTCCACTGTTCAACACACCACCAAAGATCACTGTGTCTCCCCTCAGAGCGAGCTGCCTTTTGGTGGCCAGGAATCCTCTGTATTTATTTCCAGGAGAGGTTACAGATGTTACTGCAGGGTTTATTTCTGTGAAGTCAGTGCCAGCTTGGACTGCTTGGAGAAGGAAATTAGAAAGAATCAGCTAGAACAGTTACTCAGTTTTGTGTTTCTCTTAACTGCTGATTCCAGGCAAGCTTGCTGGAGAAGTGTGTGGGCAGGATTGTATTGCTGCCTGCTGCAAGCGCTGTTCTCAGCACTTAACAAAACCTCTCTTGTTTGTTTTCCCTTGATCCACGTGCTGGGGCATTTCCTGGCTCGCAGACCAGGCTGTCAAAAACGAAGTATTTTTCTACAGCCTTTATTCTTTCAGCCACATTGTTTCTCTGCTGCTTCAGTGTATCGCGAGTCAGCTTTTGTGTCTGAAGCCAGCCCTTCTGGCGTGGCACAGCTCAGGTGGTGGGGACACCTACCTAGTAAATGTGGGACTTCTTGTTTTGCTGGGCTATATGGATTAGGGGCTGCAAGTTTGGGGCTGGTCACTACTGATGTCAGGAAGCATAATGCATCCAAGGTTGGGTTTTTTTGTGGGAACTCTGGTTCACAGCTGCTCTTTGGACTTTCACAGTGATTAGGAACACTTCCATGTGTTTGGGCATGGGTGTGGGTTAAAGCACTGGTGGCCTGGAGATCATTAAGAAAGAACATAATATTCAATCTCTAAGTCAAAAAGGCTTTCTCAGCTCGTGTGTTGCTAAAATTGCCAGCTGCCTGCTGAATTTTAGAGGAAACCTATTGTTGTTGTCTTTAGCTGTCTCTGCTTCACCCAAACAGAGCAAGCTGACTATGAGGCACTGGTTTGGGTGCATTTGATGGTCTCAGAAGGGTTAAGCAGGCCCTTGGTAACAGCTAATAAGCCTTTTCACTGTCATTATTCTACGTGCTGTTACATAAAACCTTACCAGTCTGCAGCATGCTGGAAAAGTCGCTGATTATACCTGTTTCTGTCTTTGTGTCCCCCCCCTCTCTTCAAACCCCAGACTCCGGGCTGGTCGTTCCAAGCGTGTCTTACGAGCTTCACAAAAAGCTGCTCTCGGTGGCTGAGAAGCACGGGCTGACTCTGGAGCGAAGGCTGGAGATGACAGGAGTGTGTGCGAGTCAGATGGCCCTGAGCCTCCTCGGGGGACCCAACAGGTAAAGCTGTTCCCTTTTGCTCTGCTGTGGGTTTGCCCCCTCTAAAGGCAGAGCTCGGCTGGTCTTGTTCCGCTAGGTGGGGGCGAGGTGAAGACGCTGAGAGGTTACCTTTGAGGTCCGTGTCATGTGGGTGCCTGCTCCGCGTGCGCTAGTCCCTTGGTGGTCCTGCAGCCGGAGGCAGCTGCTGCCTCTGCCTTCCTTGCCTCTGAAAGAAAACTCGTCCCAGCGCCGTGCAGACCTGTGTGGTAGCTCGTGTATCAGCCTGTTTCCAAGTCGTGGAAACAAGCATGAGGCTCAGGCTCCTGAAGTGGGAGGAAGACTTAAAGTAGGTTTCCATTTTCACACTGCTTTTTTCCCCTCCCCAGTCTCTCCAGAAAAGGGCTGGCTGAACATACCGTCTTGGATGAATGACTTATGAAGGGCTTCTTTTTGGCTCCCGTGTCCCAGAAGCAGAAGTATCTCGAGTCAAAGACAAAACAGACAGAACTGTGATTTTTCTCTCCACTTGCTGGAAATTTTTTCAGGGAACTGAGCTTCGCTTGATGGTATCAATAAACCCAAAAGTTGGCTCGTGAAAACAAAGAGCTGCTTAGCTTTTTGTGATGCTGAATTAGCTTTCGGGCATCCACACCTAAACTGAGAATATCCTGCTCTTTTGGAGGGCCCAGTTTGCTTGCAGGTTTGGAGTGCACGTAATGTTCTTCGTATGAATGTGTGTGCTGACTCTTTTGAGGACGTCTGCTCTGTGCCTGCACTTAGCGTGGTTGTTGATGTGGGCAGACGACTGCATTTGTATTTTCATGTTGTTGATAGCTGCTTCAAATTATTTGCTCTTGAAATGGAAGCTAAGCCTTAAGTCTCCATCTGTTTGTTCGGCAGTACTTTACCAGGACCTGATCATTTGATTGAGAGCAGTAAGTGGTGACGTACTGGGCAGCACTGACCTATCAGCTGAAAATCCTACTGTAAGCCACCCTTGATGGCTTGCGGCCCATTTAAATAAATCATCTTTATTTTGTAGTAGATGCAGCTTAGGGACTAGATATTACTTTTCTTTTTTTAACTGTGGCTCTCCTGATGGGGTAACTCACCCTGTATTTTTATGGTTGTATAGTTAGCTTTCTTCTGAAATCAGAGGGGCAGAGTAAAAAAAAAGCCTCCTAAAAGCAAAGTTGCGTCGGACTCGGGCTTGCTTCATGAGCAGTGAAAGTGTCCCCTGCTTTGAAAGTACAAGTTGGCTTCCTGATGAGCCAGGATGGACTGGGACCTTGTGCTCTCTGCTGCGGGTGCACGGAGGTCTTGAGGGGAACCTGCAAGCACAGCGTCTCTCTAGCGTCAGCGCTGCAAAAGGATGTGGGTTCCTTCTTCGGAGGCAACGGAAGATTTGCAAAACACCTGTCAGTTTGCATTTTACTGATTTTTCTCTTGCACGGGGAGAAGGTAAGAGGTGGGTTTATAACTGTCCGCTGTTGTCTGTGTTTCAGGCTGAACCCGAAGAACGTGCATCAGCGGCCCACGGTAGCCCTGCTCTGTGGCCCCCACGTCAAGGGGGCGCAGGGGATCAGCTGCGGACGGCACCTCTCCAACCACGACGTCCACGTCATCCTTTTCCTCCCCAACTTTGTCAAGATGCTGGAATCCATCACCAACGAGCTGAACCTTTTCAGCAAGACGCAAGGCCAGCAGGTGTCCAGCGTCAAAGGTAAGTGACTGAGGAGCAGATCTGCCCTCTGCCGCCCTCACGCTTCGAGGAGACCTGTGTCGCTCGGCTCCCCAGTGCCTGCCTGGGCCGGTGGCACCATCTAGTGGCACCGCCGGAGGCAGGTGGCTGGTCGGAGGCTGGCGGGACAGCAGAGCGTCGAGAGATTCAACAGTGGAGCAGTTGTACTGGTGCAGACGTTTCCTGTATGAACAAATACGGAAGAGCTGCTGTATGGATCTGAGTCAGAGCAGCCGTTCTCTTAGGATAAGGACCTTCCTTGTTCAGCACATTGAAACTGCAAGTAAATGAGCATCCAGCTGCTGCTTCCAAGCAAGCAGACAGCTTTGCTGAACTCGTCCCAGCAGCTGTCAAACTTCAGATCTCTCAGTATGCCCTAGAATAAACTGATGCTCCGTCTTCTGTGAGAAAGCTGGCTTCTGTCATTTCGCCAGCAGTGTCGTCAAACCTGCTTCACTTAAACTTCTTGGGAGATAGAAACCTGGGAGTTGGGGCACTGCGCAGTGTTTCGTGCTTTGGCACAGTGGGGGGGCTGTGCGGTGCTGGCTTGAGCCACTTGCCTGTTACAAAAGATTTTGCACCAAGGGCTTTGTGGTCCGTCAGGTAAGGGGGATGCAGCAGCTGTGGTACGGAGCAGGTGAGTGCAGTGAGACCGACGGAGCTCAGCAGTGCAGCACACAAGCTGTCTCTCCGTAGCAGAGGTAGTTGGCGTGTTCCAGAAAAGGAGCCTTTTTTTCAGCTTGTGGAATATAAAATGGTCCTTTTATAATGGAGAGAGCACCACTGCTTCCCTGGGCTGCCTGGACTGGTGAGCCAGCTCAGCGGCGGCATCTGGGGCTGCTCGAGTGCTGACCACAGGATGAGATTTTGTACCTGAGAGTCTCTGAATGCTCTCCAGAGTGCTAAAGAGCTTTGAAATCTTGGTGTCAGTGTCTCTTGCAGAAGGATGGCAGTAACAACAGGTAAGGGCAGACTGTATGCGGTGAGACTGTGGGTGCTGGAGGCAGAAGTGAAACGCCTGCTGGCAGTGCAAGGAGGAGAGGCACTGAGCCTTAGTTCGTGGTTTCAGGTTGGTCCTCAGCACTCAATGGTGCTTGTGTTTTCTTTCAGATCTCCCAGATACCCCTGTTGACCTAGTGATCAACTGCCTGGATTGTCATGAAAATGCCTTTTTGAGAGATCAGCCTTGGTACAAAGCCGTTGTGGACTGGGCCAACCAGAACCGGGCACCCGTCCTCAGCATAGACCCTCCGATAAATGAAATGGAGCAAGGCATCGACGCCAAGTGGTCGCTGGCCTTGGGCCTGCCCCTGCCCCTGGGCGAGAGGGCAGGGCGTGTGTACCTCTGTGACATTGGCATTCCCCAGAAGGTCTTTCAAGAAGTGGGAATAAACTACCACTCGCCTTTCGGCTGCAAATTCGTCATCCCCCTGCACTCCACTTAGAGCCCATCCAGCCACACGGCTCTGAAGGGAGAGAAGAGAGAAGGAGGAGGTCTGTCAGATAAGCTGTCCAGTGGATCCTGACTAGTAAACTCATGACGCCTTAAGGATGTGAAGTTCTGAAGAGTTTTCCTTCCAGAAGGAACATTGTGTATTGAAAAAAAAAAAAAAAAAAAAAAGAATAATCCTAAAACAAGACAAAAAAAGAAGGAAGCAAATGTTCCTGCAAAGCTGTTTTCATTCTCTTGTGCCATTGTATGAAGGAAGACGCAGGAAGATGGTGTCTGTCCCCGGTGAAGGCAGCTGCTGCTGCCCAGGCCTGGCCGGGAGGCTGTTTAATGAGGGGGTGTACGTGGAAGTGGTACAAGTGACGGGTGGTTTGGAGATTTGAGATGTGTTTCCATCCTTCTGGGCGGATTGACCCAGCAAGGGCGTTCTGGTGGGAACAGCACCCCTGGATTGTGTAGGAATACCTTCTGTTGCAGTCATACGGGGAGGGAGGATTTGGTTTCGTTCCGTGGTTCTTTTTGACGCCCCCCTCCCCTGTTTTATGTTCCTGAAGGCAGTTGTAGCTCGCTCTCCCTCCTGGACCCTCCAGCCCCTCAAGGAGAGCGTTCCCTCTTCGGAAGGCTTGTGTCAAGAGCCAGAAGCTCTCAGGTCACTCTGGGAACACTGATGTCCTCAGCTAGGCCTTACTTGCTTATATACTCTGTTGGCTTTTTGTTTGTTCGCTTAGTGGGTGAAGCCCAGGTCTGTGGGAGTGAGGCATGTTTTGGAAAAGAACTTTTCCAGGATAGTTGTGGTTTTGTTTGGGGTTTGGGTTTTTTTTTTTCCTTTCTTCTTTCTGGCACAGCGAGTGGCTGAATCAGGGAAAAGCATAGTGAAGCAGGGCAGTGTCACTCTGACTTTGTTGCATGGTGTATGGTGCAGGTGATGTTTGGGCAAGTTCCCCCAGTGCTTCCAGTATCCCTCCTACTCAGTGTGGTTTGGGCAGCAGGTCAGTGGATCTGCTCATTCCCTTTGGGCTCGAAGCCTGCGTTAGGGTGGGCTTGTGTGTGTGCACCCACGTGCTGGGAACCAGCTTGAGGAAGGATGTGGGTCCTTACAAGGTCCTGTTTACCTGCAGGAGACGGTGTGGCGAGAGCTGCTGCCCTCCTGGAGGGGTGTGGCAGGGGGGTCTCGTCTGAATTGCCCTGGGTTGCTCTGCTGACTGCGCTTGCGCTGCACTTGCTTCCCACGTGCTGCCAGGAAGCGTTGGGTTCTCTTTTCCTGCGTTCCTTTTGTTGGCCCAGTGGAGCGTTGGTGCAGCGCCTAGACCAGGGACGAGCTGAGACACCATCAGCCAGCTGGCTGCAGGAGTCCAGCGGGCCAGCTCTGGGCCTGCCCTCTGAAAGCTTTGTGCCCGGTGGCTGACCCAGGGAAGCGCTGAAGCTGGAGCGACGCAGGAGGGGCTGTAAGGGCGAGCCCATCCTTCGGAGGAACCGGGCAGAAGCAAGGCAGAGGCCCTGCTCTCGCCAAGAGGTGCTCGGCTCCCTGCTTGCTCCCAATGCCGTGAGTATGAGCAGTGCTTGAAGCTCTGCTGCTCTTCTGGTACCTTACCTGTCCCCAGAGCTCCTGCAGGTACCTAAACCTCGCACGGACCCTGTTCTGGCAGCTGGGAGCTTCAAATGGTGCCTTTTCTCCAGGGGAGCTGGATCCCTTCTGAGGCTGAAGCGCAGGGACACGTGGAAATGGCCACCTACTGTTGTAGCTGCTCTGTCGCTGTGCTCTGCTGAGCAGGTAGAGTCCCACTTGGCAAACCTATTGACCCACTTGGGCTCCGAGTGGTGAGGATGTACAGATGAGGCACTTGTCTTTTTCCCTTTCATCTGCTTAGAACAAAGGCCAAGTGTATCAAAGGAGGGAAGAGACTTCCCTGGTTGAAAAGAAGCGATTGAGGGGAAGACCCAGCCTGTAGGACAGGAGGCTGGTGAGCGCTGGGCTTGCCCCCGCAGCTGCCCGAGGGCTCTTCCGCTGCCAAACCGAACTGCCCGCACCTTGCCGTATCTACCTCAGCAGGACGAAGGGCTCTGCCCCTCTCAGTGTCTGGACCCCTGGTTCCCCTGAGCTTCTTTCCTCGCCGAGCGCTGGACGACTGAACCGCATCCGCTGGCTTACGCCGAGTGGCCTTAGCGCTCGCACGGAGGGGCTCGGTGACTTGTGGGTGCTGTGACAGGGTGGAGCTCTGCCCTCGAGCAGTTCCTCTCCCGTAGAGAGGGCAAAGCCGAAGCACCTATTCCTCAGGTGACCTTTGTTTCAGCTAGAACTGCAGTGGCATTTAACAAGCTGTGGTGCTGACTCGGCCGCGCGGGGAAGGGGCAGCGGTGTGGCAGGTTAGTTAAAATACCAATGCGAGGCTTCCCTCTGCCTTGTTTCTTGGGCTGTTTCGGCTTCAGCTAATCTCGAGCCAGCAGCGGCTGGGTTAAAAAGGTGGACCACCGACCCTTGGTCATTGCTGTAGTACAGTGTTAGCTTTAGTCCCCTGGTTTTCACTTCCCTTGCTCAAGACACTGAGTAAGAGAACGTGCTGTTTCCAAGTTCTGCTTTCCTTGAACCAGGCTGCAGGCTTTTCTTACCCCTCTGGGTTTGGCTGTTAAACTGTAGGTTGTACGCACCGAGCAGTACCAGGGCAGAACTACTCAAGGCTTCATCGCAGGGTCCTTTTCTGCCTCTACGTGCCCAGAAGGGCACTGAACCAGGTAAAGCTGGTTTTGCAGGGATGGCAGCTCCCGGAAGCACTACGGCCCCGTGCATTGCCAGCCGTGCAGCAATAGGGTTCCCCATGTTTAAGCAAAAAAAAAAAAAAAAACAACAAAAAAAAATAATAGCAAGCAGTGTTGCACAACAGGAGGGTACAAACCCTCACCTAAGGAAGGGGACTCCCAGTCCCTACCTGTGCAGTGTTTGGGGCACAGCAGGCAGCTTTGGGCTGTGTTTGGCACAGTTAAAACTTCACAGGGTGCTCACTTTCTGGAGATTGAGAGTAGAGTTGGGTATTTGGCTGTACTTCCCCTCGGATACAAAGGCTTACTTGAGGAAGTACTGGCCTCACCCACATGAAACGCATCTTCTGTGCAGGTGTGAGCTCCTCTGGAGCACTTGGAGACCCAGAAAGGGGTCTGGGTCCCTTCTTCTCCCCCTTCCCCCACATTGCCAGAGTTAATTCAAAGAATGGAACACTTTTTTTAGCTGTGTTTGAGATAGTTTCTACCCACAACCTTAACCACCATCATAGGAACTGCCCGTGAGTGCTGCTCTGGCCACTAACATGTGAAGATCACTGCACTATGTCACTGCTTGATATTCCATTTGTGACCTAATGTTTGTAACGACTAATTCCTGCCGCTACTGGGGGATGCCCTGAAATAAAGTGCAACTATTCATGTGTGCTGTTTGTGTGCAGCTGTTTATTCCTCTGCTGTCGCTCTAGAGCCTGACACCACAGCTGGAGCAAGCCTGGCTGCTGCTCTGCACTGTTCGGAGGAGCAAGGGCAGAGACCAGGGAGAGTTCAGTCCACTCACCCTCACTTTTTGCCCTCCAGTGACAAAAAAAACTGCTTAGTTTCCAGTTAGTTTTTCAACATCTCCACCTTCCTTTGCAGAAAAGGCAAAGCTGGGAGCAAGAGAACCCTGCACCTGCCTACAAGGGAAGTATCAAACAATAAGAAACACTTTATTTTAACTTTACAACATATAAATAGACAAATCTGTGCTTTCCAATGGAGCTTTCCTTCCCCTCCCCTACCCAGAGTCCTTGTCACAGTGCCCCAGCCCCTCTGAACGCTGAGAGGAGAGCGCATGGGGCTGAACTGCAGAGGCCAGACGGATCCCGAACGCACAAATCCAGCAGGCAGCGCACCCTGCCCCACTGTCATCTGCTCAGGTCCCGGCTGGCGCCCCGCCCGCACAGCATCCGCTCCTCTGCCGAGAGGCCAGCGAAGAAGGGATGCACGAGGGCTTCCGAGAAGGTGATCCTCCGGGAAGGGTCGAATTCTAACATCCTCCTCATCAAGTCAAAGAGCTGTGCATGCTCGAGCGAGTCATGCAACATGTACGTCTGGAAAAGAAGGGCAGGGGGGACAGAGAGCGCGGTGTAGCACTCCGGTGGGACAGGGACTGAACCCCACGCTCTAGTTTTGTCATGCACAGCAGGGCAAGGGCTGGCTGCCCTCCTCAAGTCCAGCGTCCCTCCCAGCTCCCTAGCACCTGTCCTGCTTCAGCCGCACCAATAAGCCTCTGTTACTGCAGAGGAGAGTTTGGGGCTCTGTAAAAGCCAGTCGCTAAGGGAAATCTCCCCCCACCGCCCATCTGGGGAAGGGAATGGCACAGCAGTTCAGCCTCGCAACAGAGCCAGCCCTCCACCAGCCACAGAGCAGCACCTACCCGCAGGGGCTTGCAGTTCTCTTGGACGTATCTCCCATCAGACGTGGTTTCATCCCATACCAGGTTCCCATTGTGGAAATATTTTTGCTTCCTGCAAAGGAAAGGTGGTGGTCAGTAAAGCTACTCGTGGGACGTGCTTCCAGCACATCTCCCGTGGTTAGACCCGTGTAGGTGAGACCCAGTGTGAGGACAGAGACTTGGTATCCTGAGTAATGAGCCACAAACAGTTGACTGGACTGTCTGAGGTCAGGAAGAGGTTCTTACCGAGTTTTGTGGATCATGTGAGATGGAATTGGCCCGAGGATTTTTTCCATCATGACAAGATGTTCACGATTCTCATGGGTCTGCAAAGGAAGAGCGCAATGGTGCATTAATTCAGAACTTGGGAGATCTGATGACAAAAAGTCTGTCGCCTATACAAGTACAGGAGGAGAAGAGACAAGCCTCCATCAGGAGTGATGCAGGTCCTGTCCACCTCGCCTTCCTCTCTTCATTTTTCTGCTCTTCACGGGCACGGTGAAGAAGCCAGAAGTGATCTGAACCTTGCCCTTCCAGCAAGGTACGAGTTTTCCTGGGCTTATTTCCAAACTCGGCTTCTGATTTTTTAGTGCCTGATCTGCGTTTCCCTTCCCTTCACCTAAGTTTGAGCCCTTTTAGACATTAAGGATTTGTGGGGTACAGTAACTCTTGCAAGAATCATACCTGGAAAAAAGCCGCGGTAATACTCAAACAGAATGCAGCCGGTACTCCAGACATCGCATGGCTGTGCCCAGCCCAGCTCTGCAAAGAGAATCAAGTTCACTTTGTGCTCTCAGCAAGTCCCACCAGATTCCTACCAGTTCCTTGTTGAACCCGCAGGGATTACACAAAGTCAGACCTACAAGTTATATCTGTGCACTTTCTGGCGCTGCACGCTGGCAAGAGGACCGCCAGGTCTCGCCAAATGCTGCTGTTTCTAGTTTATGCTGACTCCACCTTCCCCTGGAGCCGACCTGAGCACTTCCCAAGTCTCGCAGGCTTTCCTCAGCTCTCTGCACTCCACATCAAGGGCCTGCACCATCCGTGAATACCTTCCATACAATCAGGACCTTGGGGCCGCTGAGGTGGTGCCGCAGCAATGTATGGGAACAGGCTGTCCCCAAGAACTGGAGTGCTCACAAGCTCGTTCTCCTCTAGACAGCATCATCCTACAGCATCCCTGGGACAACTGTTGTCCTCCACCCATCTGAGACTCCCAAAAACCCAACAGTACTCACCCAGAATCACTTCTGGTGGACGGTAGTGCCGGGTAGCCACGATCGTGGTGT